TTACCTCCCAGACCTTGCCTTGTATCTCCAGCCCTGGTGACTCAAACTTGTGTCCTCAGTGCAGTCAAGGCACTGGCCTCTGCTCTCAACAAACAGAGCTCCATTAACTGCAGTGGGCAGTCTTGCTTCAGAAAGAAAAAGAAATCCATGGAAATGAAACTCAGGAATAAATTTAATAGTTCTGCTTTTCATGAGTTTTAAATACACTCATGCTGAGTTGCTGTAAAGTTTGAAAATGGTTTTGAAGTAAGAGTTTAGAAGGAGACAACTGCTCAGGAGCAGATGCTGAGCAGCCTTGTGCTGGCCTGAAGCAGAGTAAGTTCCCAGCTAAAATCAGAATTTGTCCCTGAATTTGTCTGGAATTTGTCCAGAGCAGCAGAGACTCTGAGTGAGGGTTCCTCATAAGATTTCTGCTGCCCAGAGTGGTTTTGTTCAACTGGAAACCATTCACTGCCCTCCCTTTGTTCTTGGGGTGGCTCTAAAAACCCTTCTTTGTGTTCCAGAGGTGTCTGTCATCTACTGATAAAAGCTGACAGAGATAATTGTGCTTTTCTGGAAGTCCTTCCAAGGATCAGAGTGAATGGGGACAGTTCCTGCAGGCCCAGGGGGAGCTGTGCAGAACTGAACTGTGCAGAAATGTGCAGAAATGTTCAGAACTGTGCAGAAATATTCAGAAATGTTCAGAACTGTGCAGAAATGTTCAGAAATGTTCAGAACTGTTCAGAAATATTCAGAAATGTTCAGAACTGTGCAGTCAGAGCGCTGCCCCTCTGGTGACCAGGCTGGCTTTCTCTGGGGAACCAGTAACAGGTTGTTCATTAAGTAATTTGTGTAATGCTTGACTGAAAAGCAGTGTACCTTTGCAGGCCTAAAATCACATGCAGGCATGGAATCCCATCCAGAATCAGCACAATAGTATATTTAGTCTTCAGCTGCAGAGAACTGCAAAGAACATTTCCTGAGCCTCTCAGTCCATCAGTCATGCTTGTTCAAATAAAGCAGTGAGTTTGTTTCCCTGCTAGTTACTGACCCCAAAGTCATGAGTAAGGGATCCTGAATAATGTGTAAAGGCTGTAACTGGTTCAGAAAACCTTTAATTGGCTAATTAAAAAGGGTCCTATAAGGGGCTGCAGAGAATCACCCAGAATGTTCCTAATGCAGCCTGACGTTTTGATTTCCCCCAGTTTGAAGCAGGACTTTTGGTATGATGGCAGTTTGGGTTAGGAAGGGTAGAATTACTTTCTTCCAACAACTCATTCATTCCCCAGAGAGTGCTGACACAATCAGATCTCTCATCGGGGTTTAATGCTAAGTCTCATAGCCCTGAAGCAGCACAAAAATCTCTATTTCCTGAACATTTCACTGACCTGTGGTGTTAAAGACTTGCCAACTAAGACAAACCATTAAATGAGAAGGGAACCACAACAGTAAAAATACTGCACGAGGCAGCCATGGCTGGTGAGACCTCAGGGTCTAAATCCAGGGATATTTTATCATCCTGAGTGCTGCCCTTTCCAGAGGCAGGGCTTGGATTCCCTGTGCTGGAAGCACAGCTTGAAAGGCCCCACACACACAGACCTGGCCCTGGGCTCCTCTGTGGTCCTTACAGCTTTCTGTCCTGTCCATGGTGGGCATGGTTTAATTCTGTGCAATAAGCAGCTATCTGCACTTGTAGACTTTGGATTAAATTATTAATCAAGCTGGGTTTAGTCTCCTGTGTTTCCAAGCAGGAGCTGTTTGCCCCATTGTGGCATGTATGGGGTAATTGAGGCCAGAAGGGATCTCTGGAGGGTCAAGCACAGCCTCCTGCTCAGAGCTAAACATTTCTGGTGCCAGGCATCACCTGGGTTCAGGGAAGGGCCTTTGGTCTGACAGGGTTTGCACTGGGGCTGTGCTCCACTGTCACATCAGCCTTGGGCTTTTCAGTACATCCTTACAATCAGAATCCTGGTTTTGCTGAGGGCTTTCTCCAAACCCCCGCTTTAATTTCCTCCTAAAAACATTTGCATTTATGCACATTGTAAAGGTGATAAATGTGTTGACAGTTTGGTGCAGGTTTTCTCTATTCAGAATTTCCTGAAATGATCCTGAGACTTCTCAGTTTATTCCTCCTGCTCTCCATTAGCTCCCAGGGTGTGCATAATCAGAAGATTTCTTTTCATTACCAGGAAAAAGCATAGGTTAAAGTAGAGAGAGAGACTTGTGAATGCAGTTGTATTTTTCATTTTCCTCACAGCCTCCCTCACCCTCCTGCCAAAAGCTCCCCATAATGTGCACATCCAGAGCAGTTAAAGGAAAAGCAAATATTGATTGTCTCGAGCTGAAGTGAAGCAGTGAGACAGATGGAGCCACATCATCATATTGAATATAAAGGTCAGGGAGTGAACTGCAGAGTGCTTAAATCCAACAGGGCTCAAAGAACAGGGATTGCTGCTGCTGACAGATTTGTTAGAAACCTGTTCAGCTGCCACAAATATGGAATATATCCAAACAGAAGCATCTATCATTGTTGGAATTATAGCCCCAAATACATTTACTTCTTGTTTGCCTTTTCTCATTCTTACTTTTGACCCACACAGGCTTTGGACTCAGCCTGAACATCATTTGGTTTTTATGGTTGGCTTCATTAGCTTTTAGTGCAGTTTCAGTGGCTCAGTTACTGAATCAAATCCCCTGTGGTTGTGGTTGCATGTGTTCCACAGGCTCCTTGGATGTGGCACATGACTTGGAGGCCCGTTTCTACTTTAGTTTATGCATTTTGGACCAGCAAATCCTTTTGATTTCCACCTTCTTTGTGAAGTTAGTGCTGTTGTATCTGCACAGACTGTTTGAATTTAGCAGTACAGAAACAAAGATGAAAACATTCTGCCTGGAGCAAAAACAGTGTCAAATATTCCTGCTTGGCTGTCCTTGTTGTCCGGACATCTTCATGTGGCATTGCTGGGACAGCTCCCATGTGTGTCTCTATCAGAGCTCTCCCTTCATGATGTATTTTCTTGTTTCCTTTTTCCTCTTCTTCTCCTCAGAGAACTCTAAAAAATTATCCTTTGGGATGTTTAGGATTGAGGGGAGGTTCCTCACACACTGTGCGGGTTTCTTTTCTCAAAGCTCACCTAGAAGGGGAATCTCCCCATTGAGCATTTGCTGCCTCATAATCAGACAAAGATTTGCTGGATTAACTCAATATTTTGGCTCCCCCTTTTCTGTTTCTGTCTCAACAGCAGCAAGGAGCTGGCTGCATTAACAGGGGTACAGATGGAATATAGCAGTGGCCAAAGCGGAGGCTGATGTTAAATGACATTAAATAATGGGATCTTTTCCATGCCTTTGCAGCAGTCCCTGGGGGTGGGCAGTGATACATACTTCAAAAAAGAGAGAGAAAATTCAGAGTTGTTCAGTGTTCCCTCCTTGCAGCTGGAAGCCTGGGGTTTCCTGATGGGCCACACTCCCACTCTTTGGGGTCTCCTGATGGGCCACACTCCCACTCTTTGGGGTCTCCTGATGGGCCAGGCTCTGGGGCAGCCTCTTCCCAGCTGCTCCCTGGCTGTGCCCACTGCCCAGGGAGGGTTGGCTGAGGGAGCCCAGCGGGGTCCTGGTGCCCCCTGCCCCACAGCAGCCCCAGGAGCCATCCCAAGGCAGGGGTGAGAGCTGTGAGCTCCAGGACAGGCTCCTGTCCCCGTGGGTGTGAGCAGAGCTGTCCAGGTGAGGGACAGGTGAGTTCTGTCCCCAAAGGGACCCTGGGGCTGTGTCCTGGCCACAGCTGGGCAGAGGCTGCCCCAGAGCCTGGCACATCTGTCAGCTCATTGTCTGGGCCCAGCGCAGAACAAAGAGCATAACAACACAAGAAATGCAAAATGCATTTAAAAATACTCTTTCATTTCCCTTTTTGCCAGAAGCAGAAGTGCTTAAATAACAGAGGACAAAAGCAGCTCTTGCAGAACTTCCAAGAGTTGGGAAAATAAAAATCTGTGTTAGAAGGACTGGGTTTAGGAGATTTTCCCCCTTGTCCTGCCCAGTGTGGGGAACCCCAAAGCAGGCAGCAGCTCTGGCTACAGCATTCCCAGTCCGTCAGGCCATTGGGATACGTGTCCCCTGGCCAGTTTAAAATCAAGCTTTCAGAAAGGTATGAGGCAATTTGTTTCCCTCCCATCAGTATTTTTCTTCTGCAAATTGCTTGGCTAAAAGGCTCAATGGAATATGAAAATCAAAGGGGTAAAGATTAAAATCTAAAAAAAATAAAGAATGAAAGCACTGCAAAAATGTTTTTATACTTAAGGAATATTTGTAAGCAGTGGAAGCAGCCAGTCTGTAAATGAATGTCCTGTCACTGCTGATCCACTCTTAACAGCACAGGGGTTACTGTGGTGCTGCTCCATACAGGGGGATCACATTTTATTTTCCTATAAATGTAATTTTGTGTAACTCAGGATGGAGACAAGCTGCATGGATGTAATAACTAAGGGCAGCAAAGCTTGCAGGGGTTCAGGGCAGAGGCTGTCCCACGTGGAGTGAAGTGCTTTTGCACTGAGTACAGTGAATATTTGGTGTTTTACCACAGCTTTAGTGCTGTCAGGTCATTCTGTGGGAATCCGAGAGGTCTTGGCTCAAAGCAGCAGAGTTTGCTGAGCTGCTGACCCAGGGTGACCATTCACAAGTTGTGTCACCTCCTGGTGCCCTCCACCAGTCAGGCTGGCTGGACTCAGGCCTGGTAAAAAGCAGATGTTGCACCTATGCTAAATATTTCATTCCTCAGTTTGGCTAATTTCTACATAAACATTGAACTTTAATATGTATGTGAGCTCTTTCCTGGCGAGAGAAGTGTTCAGTGATGTGTTTCAATGAAATGCTGGTGCCTTCAGTTAGGACTGGGAAGGTGCTTGAAATCAAGTCCATTTTGGTAACTTAATGCCCTTAATTTGTCTCTCTCTCTTTTTTAAAATAAGTTCTATGATTAAAAAAAATCACACCACAGTGAAGTTAATGTTGTGATATTCTTGTAGATGGGCAGCAGATCTGGGAGATGGAGGCAACGGTGGACAAAGACAAGAGCCAGCCTGTGAGTATGAAACAGGGGGTGTCCTTGCCAGCTTGTGTTCAAGGGGAGCCTCCAAGGGGCATTTCAGGAGCAGAAAGAGCAGCAATGCCACAATGACCAAGTGCCAAATGCTGCAGGAAGGATTGATTCCTGCAGCAGGGAGCCCCTGCTGGATGCTGCCCTGCACACCCACAGTGCCAGCCCGGGCCCTGCAGGATGCTGCCCCTGGCCAGCCCTGGCTGCTGTGGCACATGCAGGGTTTGCCCTGCAGGATTTCCAGTGCTCTTTGGAGGGAAGCAGCCCCTCTGCTCCCTTGGCTTGCTGGGACCTTGCTTGGGCAGGCAGAGCTCTCAGGAGCCAGCAGTGCCTCTGCCATGGGCTGTGCCTGCCCTGGAGGCAGCTGGTTCTGCCTGCGGGTAAATCCAAAGTCTACAGCATAATTGAGTTACTCTGACAAAAAGAGGGAATTCCGCAGTGCACGCTCCTTTATCAGGCACTGTGGGATTAGCAGAGCTTCTGCATTTGTCACCATTTCATGTTTTATTTGCAGCTGAGACTTCTCTCCAAGTGCAGGAGGGGTACAGTCCATAGAAAGCAACTTGTCAGAGCCAAAAATCTTCTGGTCTTCCACCATCTGCCCCTTTCTTCTCATACCCTTCTTTATAGGGATGAACAGGGAGTTCCCCTTGTCGTGGCTGGAGGTGTAGCAGGGAGAGCTGCCCACAGCCCTGGCCAGCCTCAGTGCTGACCCTGCTGTCCCCTGTGTTGTTTCTTTCAGAGCATGCTTTTTGTGGAAATCCCCGAGTACAGGAACAAGCACATCCGCACCGCCGTCAAGGTGAATTTCTATGTCATCAATGGCAAAAGGAAAAGAAGCCAACCCCAGCATTTCACCTACCACCCAGGTAATTGTCAGCGACAGAGCCAGTTGCTATCTGAGTTCATGAGCAGGATCTGATTTTCTGCTCTGATGTTTTCTTGTTCTTTTAGGATCTAAATGTTGCTAATTTAATTCAGCCCTCAGCAGCTGCTTGGTTTAAAAGATGCCTGTGATTTATGATCAGGAATTTCCATCAGTTTGGGGTGTCAGTGATCTGTTATTCTGGCAATGGGCTGATGCTGCCCCATTCACTTGGTGGAAGTTTGCCAAGAGCCTCAGTGGGAACAGGCTCAGTCTGGGACACGGTGTGACCCTGAAAACCATCAGTGTTGCCTTCTCTGACGTGTCCAGCAATAAGAAAACATCAGATCTGGGAAAGGGCCTGGGATGGAGGAAGGCAAGCAATATATATTCTTCAGAGTGAGGCTAGCTGAGAAAAATATGAATGCTTTTGTGATGTTCTTCCTCTGGGGGATTGGTGAGCCATGTCACAATAAATGCAACAGGATTACTAATGAGATTCTCAGAATTTCTCAGCTTTGGCTGGGGGGAAAATCTTGTGAGAAAACCAGAGTATTGTGTTTGTGGAAAGCAGAAAGCATAAAATAACCCCACCAGATTTTATGCAAGCTTCAAATGATGTCTTAATTTGACTTGTCTCTAAGGAAAGGCAAACATTCATTCAGACTCTTATTTTGGTCTCCTCCAGCCTGAAAATCTCTGGTCCTCTCCCTGAATTTATGAACTCTATAGGGTATCACCAATGTGAAGGGTTTGTACAGTTGCTAAATTGTTCTGCTCTGGAACAGTATTGAGAAGGACACTTCTCTCTCAATATAAAACCTAAAATAGACCACTTAGGAGGAGGAAGCTTTACTTCGAGACAGGAGTTTTGCATGACCACTGTATGGTTTCCATTGTGTGGTGTTTCTGTAGTGAGTTTTGGGGAAGATTCTACCAAAAAATCATTGGAAATGTAGAGGACCATCATTTACTCCACTTGGATTCACACAACTCTTACTAAATCGTGGTCTTTTAAATGATGGTGTCAGACAGGTCTTCAGCTGTCAGCACTGAGGAAATTTGTGCAGCAGAGACAGAAGCTCTAGAATATTCAGCTCTGCCTTTGGTCACTGGTTAGAGGTTTGACAGGAAGATGGGCAGTTGTTTATGTCCTGGGATTTCTGTTGATTCAGTCTCCTTTGAGATGGAAGTACTGCATGAAACACCTATCTATGACTTCTTATTTTGTCTGTGTTCCATAATGGCCCTTAAATGAATTAAAATAGGAGCTGAAGTGTTGAATTTTTCAGCTTTAGCAATTTGTGGCTCTTTAGTGCATTTAAGATTTTTTAAGAACCTCTTAGCTTTGAAGAATCTTTGCAGTGGTTGCATGTGGGTGATTTATTAAACTCAGTGCTTGTGACACATGAATTTAGATACACAAATCTTGTAAAAGGCTTAAGTCTCTTATTGCTTCAAGGAAAACCTCTCTGTTTCTCCTCAGCTGGTTACAAATAACGTCCTTTGCATGCTTTGTTCTAGTACCATCCATCAAAACAGAGCCCATTGATGACTATGATCCAGCCCTAATCTGCAGTCCAGTGCACAGTGCTCTGGGGACAGTAACACAGCCTTACTATTCACAGCACACGCTGGCCACCGAGTCGCCCTCGTGCCTCGTGGCCACCATGGCTCCTTGCCAGCAGCTGCGCTCAGGCCTCTCCTCTCCCGACTCGCGGTACCAGCAGCAGAGCCCGGCTGTCATTTACCAGAGGAGCAAGAGCCTGAGCCCCAGCCAGCTGGGCTACCAGCAGCCCGGCCTGATGGCCACGCCAGCCGCGCTCGGGGACGGCCACAGGTCCGTGCTGGTGCACGCCGGCTCCCCGGCGCAGGGCTCGGCCGTGCTGCAGCCCTCGCCGGGCCACCAGCAGCCCTCTCCCGTCATCCACTACTCCCCGACCAACCAGCAGCTGAGGTGTGGCGGCCACCAGGAGTTCCAGCACATCATGTGCTGCGAGAGTTTCGCGGGCGGCGCGTCGAGGTCCGGCCAGGCGCAGGGCGGCCCGGCGCAGAGGCTGAGCCCCAGCTCGTACCCCACGGTGATCCAGCAGCAGGCGGCCCCGGGCACCAGGGCGGCCAAGAACGGGCCCCCGGGCACCGAGCACAAGGACGTGCTGCCGGCAGGAGTCACCATCAAGCAGGAGCAGAACCTGGACCAGGCCTACCTGGACGATGGTAAGTGCTGTGCCCCTCTCAGGGCTGCTCTGTTGGAGTGGGAGGTGGGAGTTCCCAATGCTGCTGTTGCTTGGCGTGGCCCCCTTGGTGGCTGTGGGCATTTGCTGTGCTTTCAGGCTGGATTGGGTCTCTCATTAGGTGCATTGTTGGTTGATGGCAAGGCACTTTGGCCACTCGCCCACAGGACCCCTCTGCTTGCTCTGTGCCACAGTGAGCTGGTCCCATTTTGTCTCCCTTTGCCAAAGGTCCCATTGGCAATTTGGAAAATGGCGGATCTGAAATTACTTCTTCATTATTTTATTATATTTTTTCATATCAGGGCAAAGTCCACTTTGTAAAATGCTCTTGTACATTTTGTACCAAAAAAAAAAGCCCATTGAGCAATCTATCAAGGCCTGTTATGAATGGGGTAGTGCTGCAGGCAAAACCATTGCAGATGTTCTAGATGAACAGTGGGACATTGATAAGTTAAACAATGCTGTTCCTTTGTTGTGAGCCAGCTGATTTAGCCTTTAGGAATGAACATAAGTTAGAGTAAAGCTTTCTTTGAACATATCCTGCTTATTCTTAGGTAGGCAGCCATTGGCAGTCTGGTTGATTGGTTCTTTTATTAAAGCATGTTTCTGGCAGGAGGAAATCAGTGCAAAATTAATAGTGCAGCTGGACACGGCAATCGCAGAGAGCAGCGGCAAACCCAACATTGATTTTAGTGGGAGCAGAGTGAGGCTGCTGGAAACACTGCTGCAAATGCAGGATGTTCCTGTGCAGGAGGCACAGACCTGATTGTCACAAATGGTGGCTCTGCTCCCCTCTCTGTGCCGGCAGTGTGGGCTGGATCTCCTGGTGTGCACCAGGATGTGCTCCAAGCACCCAACAGTTCGGGATTTTTGCTGCACTTACCTGAGTAATTGTGAAGTTGTGTCTGTGAAAGTTTTGCTTTCCTCAGCTTAGGTGCTGAGTGTTCTGTTCCGTGTGCAGCCTTCACTGCTGGGTTTGTGGGCAGAGGTTGGATGGTTTCTCTGTTACTGTGTTTGCAGAGGGGTGATGCAGCTTTGGTGCCATCGCAATAAAATCTGGAGAGCTTTTACTGGCTCCTTTCTCTGAGCAGGAGATTCAGGAGTCCTGAATTTAACTTGGGAGACTCACTTTTCGTTCAGGGAACTGGGCATGATAACAAAGCAAGAGAATCTTTCTGACAGGAGAACAAAGCACTGTTGTTTAGGGTAATTTTAAAGAGAAGCTGAGAGATTTTTCCACATTTCTAATACTTGGTACACACCTTGTAAAAGAAAGAAAGGAGAAAGCTTTTACTTCAAGGTTCTATCTTCAAAGTCAGGCCATAGTCCACTTAAAAGAACTCCTAAGATAGACTGCAAAGTTAATTTTGCTGAGTTTTGCATCAGGCCAGTGACACCCAAGGGCAGCACAGCTCACCCAGAATGCGCTCACCCTTCCTGCTAAGGGAGCTTTTAGGCAGAACTGCAGCAATTAATAATGAAACCCCAGGCTTCTCCTTGGCTGGCTACATCATCTTCAGTTGATTTCAGCCACAGATTGCTTTATCAATCATGCCACCCAAGTCAGGCCAGGCAGGATGGGCCACATGCAGTCTCTTTACTGATCTCAGTGAGTTTATATCAGCTGGAAGTGTGACTTGGAGAATTGTGATTTACTTTAGGGCTTTGCAAAGCATTTCATTCTGAAATGTTCGGGACTTGAATTGAAAAGCCACATTGTTTGCTGCTGGGGAAAAGTGACTCAGAACATAACAAAAGCCATGTTTTTCCTGACTAGAAAGTTTGGGTTTGTGCTTTATGGTATTAAAAGAAAGCAAACCCAAAGGATTATGGAGGCTTTGCCCTTAAATCCCTTTTATCCAGAGAGCTCTTGTGAGATAAAGTGAGCTGTGAGGTCTTGCAGTGATTTTCACGGACAGACACGGAGCTGGTGCTGGCCCAGGCAGGCTTGGCACGGGCCAGTGCTGCTGCTGCTGCTGCCCTTGGGCAATCTCTCACTTCCCTCTGCCCTTCCTCCCTTCCCACATCTTCCTGCTGCCCCTGCTTTGTTCTCCTTTCTCCAGGGTTCTGCTGACATCCAGCTTTGTCCCTTTGCTCTGGTGCCTCCTCTCAGCAGCCCTTGCTCACTGCCTTGGTGGTTAACCCACAGCCTGGGTATTCTGGGCTTTGTTTCTATCCTGAGCTGTGTGGAGGGGCCTGGGCATGGCCCACACTGGCTGTTCCCCATTCCTGGAGCTGGTGCCTCTCAGGGTGGGCAGGCTGAGGGTGCTGGGCTGTGCTGGCAGTGCCCAGAGCATCCCCAGCTGACACCACTGTCATTTCTCTGCACCCCTCTCAGCTCCCTGGAGTCACTGCTGGCAGCACCCCTCATTGTTGTCTTCTCTCCCTGCTGTAAAAGATGTTATTTGTCCTTCCTGAGAGCATGGCTTGGTTTTGCTCAGAGCCTTCACTGCTCCACAGGGCACAAAGCACTGGGAATGCAGCACATTTAACCTGCCTTGAAAAGGTGAGAGCTGTTCTCCTCTCTGCAGGAGGACTCCAGGCCTGGGGTGAGTGCTCTCCAGGTTGAGCGCAGCCAAACCAGCCTGGAGCCCAAGGCAGGTGATGGCAAGGATTTACCATCCTCCCATGGGCTTTGCCATGTGCCAGGAGTGCTTGGTGCCAGCTGGTGCCCTCCCCAGCCCTTGGGGACCATTTCAGCAGAGCTGTAGCTGGTTCCTGGCCCTGCTGCAGATGTGCAGAGCTGCCACTTGCGTTGTGGAAGGAGACTTTGGCCCCTCTTCTCCTCTTTCTGTGCAGCCTCTGCCCAGGCTGTGGTGCCTCATGCAGCTTCCCAGCCCTGCCCTGCCAGCCAGGGTGCCAAACAGGCTTGCAGGAAGGAAGGCTCACTGCCCAGACAGAGAGGGTGGATTTGGATGTGCACCCATCAGGGACTGATGCAAGTTCAGCATTGCCACACAGGACTGCCTTCACACATGTACCCCTTCATATTTCGGTGTAAAATAGATAGATCTGTAACTTTCTGATGGCAAATACTGGGAAGAGTCCCCAGAGGAGGGGGCTGCTCATGAAAAAGTGACAGGAGAACCTTTGTTACACAGCTCTGCCTCAGAGATTGATTCCTGTGGAATTACGTGGGGGGTGAGGATAGTGCAGGAGTGTCCCTGAGTGCCAGGGGTGCATCAGGTGTCCAGGCTAGGCTGGCAAGCAGGGACCAGCCTCAAATGCAAGTGAAAGCCATGGGGTGACACAGTGATAAGCTCCTTTCGGCCGAGGCCTCATCTCAATTTTGTTCATAACCAAACCGCCCACGATGGTAAAAGTTGCCCAAACAACCACATCAATATGTTGACAAATAGAATGTAGTTCCTGTAGCGCCCTCAGAGCACTGAGATTAACTCTTTAAAGCACAAACCCAGCCCAAATGTAGTTCTTTGCAGCACTGTCTGCAGTGCCCTGGTGGGGCAGGGTTGAAAGGGGTGGCCCAGGGCTGGGGCACTGACTGAGCTCCTCCTGCAGGGCCAGTTCCCCCTCTGGGACACAGACACGAGGCTCAATTCCACACACAGATCATGCTTGTGTAGCTTGAGTGTTATCAGCTTGCCTGCCTTAGATTGAGATCTTTGCAAAGAAAAATGATTGTCATTATTCAAATAGTAACTGCCTGACCACATCTGACACTCCCAAGTCTGCTGGATACAGCAGCTCTAAAGTATTTTTGGTGCACAGTGATGTCCTTTGGGGAGGAGAGGAGCAAGACAGATGCTGTGTAGTGGTTTATCAGGCTGCTGATCAGAGAGATGTTTTATAGTGAGCTCAGGTATTTCGCAGAAAACTCGAGACACGTCAGATATTTCTTTAGAAAGCGGCTGTGCAGGATGTGCAGTGTGGTCCTCACACCACCCAGCACCTCAGATCCCCTCCATGACAAGCTGAGTGTTCAGTGTGCAGTTCTGCTCATCCAGCGCCACTCAGAGTGTGTTACATCTCATCCCTGCATTTCCTTCCTGTGTTCTTTCATTCAGTACAAGAAAACCTCAGTCTGTCCCCGGGTACAGTGACATGAAATTCACTTATTTCCATCACATCCAGCAGGAAGCTTTCCTTTCAGGCCAGCTCTGTTCTCCCTGGGCAGGAGTACTCCAGCAAACCCTGTCAGAGCCCAGAGTGCTGCTGCAGGGCTGAGCTCCCTGTGCCAGCCAGTGCTGGGGGCTCTGGCACGTCCTGAGCATCCATGGCCCTGCCCGTGGATGCAGGGCTGGCACAGGCAGCTCTGGCAGCTGGGGGTCCACAGGGAACCCTCTGAGCTCTGGAGCTGCTCTGGCAGGGTCCTTTTCTCTCTAAACCCTGTCCCGAGCCCCTGCACAGACAGCACAGAGGTTGGTGGCTCTAGGGGCAGATTTTAGCTTGGTTTGTAGCTGTTTCCATCTTGTGTCCATGCACGGAGTCAAGTGGCAAGGCAGGGCAGAGGGGAATGTTCTTGTCTGCTGGCATTTTAGACAGGGTGAATTTGAGTCCTACAAATGGGCTGGGGTTCAGTTTCGAGCAACAACTTGCATCTAAAAAAGCCATGCTCTGTTTTTAATTAGAACTCCTTTTCATAGAAGGTGTGGTCACTTCTGCTCAGGCAGAGTTTGACTAAGAGTGAAGCCTGTATATTCTCCAAAACATTTTGCTCAAACACTCTAGCAAATCTATGTATTCATCAGGCTCATTCCTGGAGCTCTGACTCACATTATTACAGATTTTCTGTTCTCTGCTGGGACCTTGCAGCCCTCCCTCAGTACACTGCAGCTTTATTTTTGGATCACTGCTATGTGGGTTTGTGTCAGGATCTCCATGCCCTGTCCTGTGCCTTGCTTTTCTAGAGGCAATGTAAAAAGAGGAAAAACCATCGTTCTGCTCCCAAACCCCTCAAGTCTGTTGGCAGGAAGCAGAAGGATCAGTCTGGGAGGAGGAAGGTCTGGGTTCAGTCTGAGCTTG